GTCCCTGCCGTTCGAATTGTATCCAATCGACCTATTTATTAATAAGTCATAGTATTTATTTAAACTTCATTACTTTGTAGAAAGGACGAGGGTGGGTTTTAAAACTCCATTGCAATTAAGAATTTTGCATACGCTTCCTTTATTCTTTGATATTTTATAAAAAACTAGTGTGATTTTTTGGTTTAGTATGAAATCGTTAAATTGTATTCCCCTTGTATAATACCCCCTAGCACAATATCCCCCATTTACAATACCCTTTACCAGGGTTGGGAAGTACAGTGTTAGTACAGTGATTAGTACAATTAGTACAGTTAGTACATTATAATAATTAATATAAAAATTAGTACAAGTACAATATACAAGTACAGTGTACATACAAAATTCCCTTTACCATACACAATACCCCCGGGTATTATTTATAGTCTGGTGATATATACCCGGGGTACTTTATATAGCACTATACGGTACTTTTTTTGCTTTATCTTACTCTTTATGGTTGGGGAGTTTCGTGATATACGATTTAGTTTCGGAATAGGAAGGTTTCGGAGAATTGCTTTCTCAGGCGAAACCTCTTTCAGACAGTTTCGGTTTCGGATTTGAGCGAAAGGTTTTAGGATTAGCCCGAATCATTAGGTAAGTATATGAAATCAAACCTTTTATTTTAATAGAAATAGCTTTATATCAAATGAAAGGTTAGCGAATGCATATCTCACGACTTTTATTTTAAAGTTTTAATTTTTTGGATTAATGACTTAAATTGATGAATTTGGTGGGATGGATATTCAAAGAAAAATCGTAAAGTATTCAATCCTCAAAGAGAGTACGAGGAATTATATCATTACTAAACGAGAATAAAACAAATGAACTTTTTTCTAAAATTAGTTAAACTCCCGATTTTTGTTATATCGAAAACATTCTAGAAGATGCATAAAATTCCGCTATTGCATAATTGGAAAGTTTTTCGACACAATAAAGTGGAGAAAACATAAACTTACGATAATTCAATCATGTAATAATCATATCTTTTGATTATCTTGCATCAGGCTAAATTTTTGGCATAACTCCACAAAAAAAAAAGCCCATTTTGGTTGTTACACGAATTGTATTTGATATTATTAATTTTCCTTTTTTTTTTTTATGCCAAGGAATCATACAAAGTCATCAATATAAACAAAAATGAATATCTGAGTATTCATCGACAAAAATTTAGAAAGAATGATATTGTGAAGTGAAAAAAAAAAATGTAAACATTACGGAATATTTGAAATAATAATTATAAATAATCGGTCGAATTTTGCTAAAATTAAAAATGAAGTCAGATGGATTTTTGTGTGCGGTTGTCATGTGTTTTCCTACTTATAATATATATATAGGTATACGCATTCGACTAAAAATTTTTAAAAAAAACCTTTAAAGAAAAATAAATTCAAACAATACCAATTAACAATTGATAAATTAATTTTATTTCAAATCAAATAAAATGGGACAGCCACAATCTACATCATACAATTATCCTCTAACACCACCAAGTTCATCTTCAAACTCTCCCTCCCATTCCCCACGTTCTTCTTCTCCAATTCAAAAATATTCCCAAGCAGATTCTTCACGTATTTCAGGAAGTGTTTCTCCATTATTTCGATCAATTGATTCAAAAACTTATGATGATATCCTAAAAAAATCAAAATATCAATTGCCATCAGAAAATGAACATATAGATAGAATTCAATTAAGACATTTAATGTTTAGATATGTTTGGCAAGGAAATTTTTCTTCTCCTATAGAGGAAACGTTAAAAAATGGTGCCAAAGTCCTGGATGTTGGGTAAGTTCTTCAACTCGCTCGATTCGCTCGATGATAATCATTCGCAATTCCTAAACCATATATCATTATTACGTTCTGTAGGTGCGGGAGTGGCTCTTTTGTCCTTGATGTTGCATCGCAATTCCCAAATTCTAAATTTTATGGAATAGATATGGCACAAATGTTTCCTACCCCTGATGACCCCCAAATCCCACCAAATGCTTTTTTCTCCCAAGTTGATATAGTGAAAGGGTTACCGTTTGATGATAATACATTTGATTTTGTACATTTAAGATTCTTGGTCCAATATTTAACCGAAGAACAATGGAGCGAAAATGTCATAAAAGAATTGCTTAGGGTGACAAAAGTTGGTGGCTGGATAGAAATTATGGTAATTTTCCATAGTTTACAAATTTTTAAATCTTTTCTGCGGTATTATAACACGTGATATTCTTTTTTTTTAATAGGAACTTGATTTGATTTTTTATAACGAAGGACCGAATACTGCTAAATTACAAGGATCAAGTAAGTAAAAATAAAAAGGAAAATGTATTTAAATAACGATTTTAGTTACAATTAACATAAATAAACCTTTTGTTCTTAAATTTAGCTATATCGTATTTCAATGCACGAAATATAAACTCGATAATATCGCCGCGACTTTCTCGGTTCCTTTCTTCAACAAATTCATTTTCTATCATACAACATGAGAAACGATGTACTCCATTAGGTCAATGGGGTGGAAGATTAGGCGAATTTGCATTGATTTACTTTTCAATGGCTTTTAAAAACATGAAAAAAGTTTTACCAACATTTATGGGAATTAATGAAAACGATTACGATGAAATTGTTGAAAGATTTAACGAAGAATGTGAAGAATTTGGAACTTATATGAAAACCTTTAAATATTGGGGACAAAAATGTTAATAACGTTGTATAAGAAACTATAAGAACGATAATAATTTAATTTATTTTTATTTAAATAATTTTTGTAATTTTTGTAAATTTTTATTTTAAAATTTTAATTAATTAATATAATGTATTATTATTATAAACATAATTAAAAATGCTTTCGTTTTCAATTAAGAACATGAATCAAGTGACACCTAACGACATTCGAACAAAAAAAATATTTTTTTTTAATTTATGCGAATATTTGATATTTTTTAACACAAATAGTGCTTATCAAGTTATCCAATTAAAGATTGGTTATCTCGTTGGAGGAACTGTGACGTTTTACATGTCCTTATATGGTTTAGATACTAGATTTCATTCAAATAATAGGTTCTATTTTAGTTGATACGCCCCCCTTTATATATACATATATATTTTTAGAATTGACGTTATTATTTTCAATATTTGTCTATAATGTTCTTAAAAAATCTATTTGCACCATTCAAATTATTTTGGATACCAAATTGGATTGGCAGTTAATTTGCCTTGATAAAGGATTTTATCTTTTATAGTCGTAGCATTAACAAATTCAAAAGACATTTCATTACCTATTATGGTAGCATGTAAAAATCCAAAAGTGCCTTCAGGCGTTCCCCAATCTTTCCCCTTACATCCTTGACTCGTCCTGCTTCCGGCACCAGAAGTAAAATATGCAACAGTAGAATTCGGTTTAGGATATTGATATTCTAATACGTGAGCGTGACCTGCGAAATATCCTGACACTTTATATCTTTCAAATAATGTTTTTAACCTTGGCATGTAATAAATTTCACCACATTTTCCGATTAATGGATGGTGTCCCGCCACAAAAATCCAATTTGCATCTTGTTGATCAATTAATTGTTCTTCTAACCATAGCAATTTTTTTTCGATTTCATCCTCATCATCCCATCCCAACGTTCCAAACTCCTCTTTCATTCCTTCCTTTTTTATCTCATTATATTTATAAAAAAACAAATTCGTATCAATATGTATCCATGTAACTTTAATCTTTTCTTCATTACCAAAGATGCTTGTCCGAACATAAAATAACGATGGCATGAAAAATCTTGAATTTACATTCAAACTGTAATCAATTTCCGCCGTAACATTATTATACCTATAATAAATAAATTAAATGACATATATGAAAAATAAGGTCCACGATAGTTAACAAAATTTGACACTTTTTTTTTCTTGCTTACCAGTCATGATTTCCCGCTACGCTGTACCAAGGGATTTGTGCCAATTTTCCTTTGTACACATTTAACCAAGCCGTCTTCCATTTCTTATCATTCGCAGAATCAACTCCTTGATGGTCACCTTCTTCACTTTTATAAAAGCTATCTATGATTTGATGGACAGCATTATACACCTATGCACGCACATATAAAAAAGTTAGGTTCATAGTTACGAAAATACATTTACCTCCAACATTTATTATAAATCGTGAATTATGTCTTTCTGCCCATTTCTTCATAGCAAAGGCTACGTTCTTTTGATTACCATGATTTTTACCGATCCCTTTTCCTTGAAAACCCCAGTCACCTAAGATCAAAAAGTCTAACTTATCATCGTCATATACTTCTTCATATATGGTAGTTGATGGTTCTGATATTGTATGAACGTTACCATCTAGTGCACTCGACGGCATTAACGATGCCATCAATAACCATTGTGTTGATAAAAATAATATTATTAAGATCTTATTAATTAATTTCATATTTAATATTCTTATTTTATTTTTTTAAAAAAAAAAAAATATCATTCTATATTTCCCCTTTTATATAGATAATTTCATGCAATTATCAAAATACATCCATTGGTTAAAAAAAAAATCGTCGGAAAATTTATAATTACTATTTGACAATGATTAACTAAAAACGGTAATAAAAAAAATAATTATCGTGACACGACCGAGATGTTTGAAACGGGTCCAACTCTGTGCAACAACCAAGTTCATATTATAAAAATCTTCGAAAATTTTGTAAATCATTTAAAATCATTCATTTATGGAAGATTTTCAACTATTAGAAACTATGCTTTACGAACGATCAATTGGTTAGTCTTTCGGTTTATTTGTTATCATCATAAAACATTGGTTTATTCTTCTCATTTGTATATCTTCTAATAGGGTTCTATTTGTTAGAACCTCATTTAAATCGATTAATTCAATCCGCATCCCATTTCTCGGAAGAGTTCAACGACAGCTCGTTTGTAAATTGTACAACGTCAGAATTTCGAGAATTTATCAAAGCTACCTTGCAAGAATCCGTTAAAAATATCGAAGATGATAAGAGACGAATAGTAATGATTTTATACATACAATGATATAATGTAATAAAATCCTATTTAATTTTTAATTTTATTTAATAGGTAAGGTTAACGGTAGACAAGCAAGGTGTCCCTAATGTATCAATCTCTGCATTTCAAACTATACAAGGTTAATTCATTTTGGAATTTATAAAAATTGATATTCAAATTTTCATTTTTTATTCACTTCTTTTTTTATAAATAGAACCGGTAAAAATAACTTTAGACACACAGCCGACACTTTCTTCAAACAAATTTCTTTATCATAAAACGACTAAAAGGGATTTGTACAAAGATGCCAGGATTCGAGTACGTATAGCTTTAATAATACGTGTACGTTTTGTTTTTATAATTGAAAATTTTGAAATTCATTAGGTAGGATTAGAATCCAATAAGGACTTATTTGATGTAATACTGTACAATGAAAATCATGAAATAACCGAATGTTCAATAGCAAATATTGCCGTAGAGTATTATGATGCAGCAAATAATTTGAAATTCTGGAAAACTCCTCAAATCGAATGTGGACTATTGGGAGGCACAATGAGATCTCATTTAATAGAAAATGGAGATATTATCCCCGGTGTCATAACATTGGATGATATAAAATTGGCGCAACAGGTGTGAAACTAATAACAAATTTGTTTGAATGAGAATCAAATTAATTGAATTTTTTTTTTTTAAAAAAAAAAAAATTAGCAAGGAAGAAAAATCAAATGTTTCAACTCGGTGAAAAAAGAATATGAAGCCATTTTAGTTTAAAAATACAAAATTTTACCTATTTTTATTTATTTTATAACATCCATATTACCCATCCACTTTCTTAATACTTTTGGTATCACGACGCTTCCATCGTCCTTTTGATAATTTTCTAATAAAGCTATAATTAATCTAGGAACGGCAATTGCGGTTCCGTTTAGTGTATGAACAAATTCTGTGGTATTAGATTTATATCTTATATTTAATCGACGAGATTGATAATCGGTACAATTTGACGCCGAAGATATCTCGCCCCATCTTCCGCGACCTGGCATCCAAACTTCCATATCATATTTACGATATGCACTCGCTCCCAATTCGCATGTAGGCATGTCCATTACTCTAAAGCATAGCCCTAAATCCTTATAAATTTCTTCTTGCAATTTAATGATCTCCTCAAACATTTCATCACTTTGATCATGTCTAGTAAAAGTGAATAATTCAACTTTACTAAATTGATGTACGCGATATAAACCCTTAGTGTCTATACCTCGAGCACCGGCTTCAGCTCTAAAAGCCCTACCAAATCCAACCAATTTAATTGGCAATTCCTTATGCGATAAGATTTTATTTGAATATAATCCTGCTAATGGAATTTCCGCCGTTGCTGATAATATTAAATTTTGTGAACTTTCATTCGATATAAAATAATTTTGTGAAAGGTTTTCACTATCTCTTGGTTGAAACCCACAAGCATCACTAAATTCACTTTTAATCACATCAGGTGTAATTATAGGTTTGAATCCTTTTTGGATGGCTTTCTCAATTCCATATTGAATTAATGCTAATTCTAATAAAGCCCCTTCATTCATTAAATAATACCAACTTGATCCTGTGACATTTGAGGCTTGATCCAAATTTATCAAGTTCAATTGTTTACAAAGCGTTAAATGATCTTTTAATGATGTAACCCCCTCAGGTGCTATCGACTCTCCAATTCTTTTAATTAGTTTGGCATTTTCTTCCTTACCAATAGGAGTATTAGGGTGTGTATCGTTGGGTATCTTTAATGCTTCTTTTAATAAATCATTTTCGATTTCTATTAATTTCGATTCCTCTTGCTGAATTCGTTGTTTTAGTTTCTTTGCGGATTCGATGAAATTCACCCTTGATTCTTCTGTGGATAGAAATGACGTTTTATTAGCAGATTTTGATAATTCATTATGTTCCGAGCGAAGAGCATTTAATTCCGTCGTAATGTTACGAAAATTTTCATACAATGAACAAACTTTAAAAATATTTGCATTTTTTATATTACGATTTATAATATTTTGCGAAATGTCTTTAGCATTCGATATGAAATGTTTATAATTTAAATGTGGTGATAAGTATGGTGTATGTTGAGATTTTGTTGAGTATGTTTCATATTTAAACGACAAATAAAAATTGGAACGTGAAGGTTTACAAAAAGGTATGAAGTTTTTTAAACATTGGATCATGTCTGGTGTTAAAAAGCGTAAAAAAAATTTATTTTTAAAAAAAAAAGGACTTTGTGATTGGATGATCAAAGCAAAGGTGAAAGATATCGGTCCGTCACGTGGGTCAAAGATCATGAATATCGTTCGCTAATAATAAAAGGCGGAGAATCAATGTCAATGTGCGTTTTATTGTACCTTAAATAATAAGATTTCGTAAAATTTGAATAATTAATTTTTTTTTTTGTAAATTGCTATTACTAATTTATTATTAAATATTGAGTTGAAATCGATCCTAAGACCGGTCTAAAGATTGTTTTCTTAGAGATCGCATGGTATGGATCTGATCATTTTAACGTCTAAAAAAGGTTTTTATTTGCGGTTCGAACAAATGCCCTTAAATTTTTTAAAATTCGATTTTTTTTTTTTTTTTTTTTTGCCAATTGTAATAATTCTAAATACTTTTAAGAAAAAAGAAATAATTTACACGAAAGAATTATTATGAACGAAATAATATAAAATAAAAATAATTATAAAAACCTAATCTATCTGAAATTTTGTACAATGTGACGTGCGAAGAATTACATATACTACATATTTATTAATAAAGGAATTATCATAGATTTTTGTTGTGATGGTATTATAATTAAAATTGTAAATTTTTTATGTGGTTGTGTTTGTGAAATTATATGCTTGAAAAAGTTTATGCTTTAAAGTGTGAAAAAATGAAGATTTTGCCAATTATAAACGAAAAGAAAATTATTGGATTTTGCCAAAATACGAATAAAAAAAAAAAAGATAATCTATCACGAAAAAACGATTAATTCTAAAAAGATTTTTTTTTTCCGTAAATCAATTACGGTTGATTAAAAAATTAATTCTATTAAATATTATTATTCTAAAAATTAAAAATTTTGCTATCAGAGTTCTGTAACTTTAATACTCTCATTAAATGATTCTTTTTGTCTTTGTCTCTGTCTTTTTCCGGAACGGCCAGCAGCCCATCCGACAAATAAAACGGCAATATATTTAATAACTTTAATCATTATTAATGGATTATTCCCACTTCGCCTTCCTCCTGCTCTACTTCTAATATTTCTAGCCGCAATGTTCATTATCGCTGATGATGCTGGGGAATTTGAACCAATTGCTTGTGACATCGAGAACATAAATCCAATCATTGCAAGAAAATTCATGCTTTTTAAGGCTAGCGTTCGGAGCTTTTTAGATTCTTTAGTGAGACTTAATTTTTCTTCATTATTGGTAGTAATAGTAGTAATAATATTATTATTATCATTATCATTATTATTATAGTAATTGTTCGTTACGGAAGTGGAATGACTACTATTATCAATATCATTGAAATAATTATTTGTCCTTTTTTTGTTGTAATTATTTGTTGTTGAATGAACTAAATTTACATTAAAATTAAAAATGTTTTGTCCAAAGTTTAAAGTATTAATAAAAGATGATGGAAATGGATTTGATGAATCTTCTCCCTCCTCGTTAGAGTTTTCTCGATAATCACGCGAAGATGGATTCCATGAAGAATTATATGAACTATACGAACTATAACCATTATTTTCATTATCTTCATCTTCTTCCTCAACATTATCCTTGTAAATGTTAGCTTGAGTGTTATCTTTATCGTTAACGAAATTTACACCGATATTTTGTAAACAATTCCAAATACGTCTTCTCCATTTCGAGGATTTTTTTTCATGATCCACATTACCATTATCATTATTTAAAACGTCCTTCTCCAATTCCCTAAATTGTTCATGTTTACCAAAAATTTCAAAAGCTTTGGAAAAGCTCGTTGGAAATCTTGAAAATTTATCATCATCATCACTCGTATCTTCTTCATCATGATTCCTAAAATAATTATAACGATTTGATTCATATCGTTGAGCACCTTCACCATCGTGGAATTGTTGATAGACAGGAGAATTCATTAAACCATGTTCTACACCTGTCGAAATGGCTGTTGTAATTAATTTTTGCAATTCCATTTCCAAATCTTCACAACTCTTTCTATAATCAAACCTTCCTTCTAATTTCTTACGATATTGTTTCTTTATCCTTGCCAATTGAACTTGTCTTTTATCCGATTCTTGTTGAGGTTTCAAAGAAAAAGATAAATTTCGGGCTAAAGAAATTGAATTTGCTCTTGAAGATTTTGGAGTTGTTCTTGCAGTGGTTATCGTGGAAGATAAACTGCTACCACTTGATTCTAAACATAACCAACATAGTCCGCATTCACATACTACTGGAGAAGGATTATAATGATTGATTATCCAACTGCCTACATTGGAGCTCCAACTTTGCGCTCTTGGACGTGTCGTCGTTTGTGGAAGTCCAAGCAAACGATGCGACGACGACGACGATGATGACGACGACGACGATGGTGATGATGATGATGAATCCGGTTTTTGTTGTATTGCTACTTGTGCATCATCTATCAAATTTTGTAACGCACTACATATTCTATCGATTGATTCATCCGTGTCATCAGCATGTTGTAGCGTTGATAATTCAGATGGTGAAGTTGATGCAACAGTTGATTCATTATGTGGTGATGATAATTTTGGAGAGGCGATCTCTCGTTCATTACTCATGATAATAATGGTTTCTTCTTTATGGGTTTGATCAATCAAAGATGAAGGATGATAGAATTCAACTTTATCTAGATCATCAATCTTCATGTTTTCATCATTCTCCAATTCTTGATCATCATCAACAGCTGTTGTGTGACTAACTGACCTGCAATTTAACGACAGGTAAGTCGGTATAATTTTCGAAAAAAAGAACGTGTTGATGTTGTGTTCATTGTGTTACTTACTCATTTTCTGATAATAAATTTTTTAATTCTTCGACAATTTCTTGACTGGTTTGTTCGGTCCTAATAATACGCAAAAGTAATTCAATTTAATTTAATTTCGAATTTTTTTTTTTAAAAGAAAAAATGAATTAATCAATAAATCAATTCATATTTACAATTCCAATCTGGATTCGAGCTCAACGACCAATGCTTTAGTCTGTTGTAATTCACCGAGTAATTGTTGTATTAAACCTTCTAATGGTAGCTAAAAAAATAAAAAAAAAAAAAAAAAGAAAGAAAGAAATGATGATTAGAACCGATGAAATCCGTGATGAGAATGATGAAAATCTTTTATTGTAGTCGTACTTACATCATTGTTTTTCACATCATTATATTTCCCATCCTCCTCTACCTGATACTCTTGTAAAAGCAAAGTAGGAGCCTGTCGATTCCTCTCACATTCACCTACAACATTATTTTGATTATTATTACATTTAACCAAACCAGTTGTAATACAAGAAGAATTTCTTTGACAACGTACTGTTGTTGTAGCTGTGGATATTTGCTTTATTGGAGTATCATTGAGGGAAAATTCTATCGGAAAGTTGTGCATGATCACTTTTTGAATATATAAAAGCAAAAATAATTGGATGTGCCCAGCAATCCTTCATATACGGTATTTTAATTAAGAAAGATATTATTTATTAAAAACTTGCATAAAATAAAGATTAAACTTTGGTTTCAATAAAAAGAAAAAAAATAAGAACGGAGCACAAATTATTCTAAAGGAGACGTATTGATTCTAAGGTAAACAGAGAAAATAAAAAAAAACCAACCGCTAAAGAAACAAAAAAAAAAGGAGAAGCCGGGAAATTTGAGGTATTTAAATTAATAAAAATAAAATATTTTTCCAGATCAGATCAAATAATCAGGCTGACAACTATATGAATTAAGAAAGAGATTTTGAAAGTCCGTAAAAAAGAGTAAAAAAAAAGGCTAACTAAACTTTAAATGTTGATGTGGTGTTTATATAACATTTAAATTTCTGGATTCATTTTAGTAATGATGCATATTTTGTGTAATACCACGTTGATTCGTTTAAAAGAGTTTGTGATACATTTTTTTTTGTTTCTACATATTTTAATTTTTTAAAGCAAGGCTAAATAAGGAAATGTATTTAATGTATTTTGATTTTGACACATGAGTGAAATCAATTTAAAGGAACTCCCTTATTTTTTAATAATATACATCGCAACAAATAATCTACATCTCAACCAAGAGGTTCTCAGAGTTCATCACTGCCTTCTTTAAATGCAAGGCGTTAAATCCGTGCATTGATGAAACATTACATAGGGATTTCGATAAACAGATATAAAGAGATGATCGATTTTCACGTTATTTTTATGAAGGAATGAGATGGAACGTGGAACGGTGGCACTCCAAGTGACGGTACATGCCGCAATGTTGAAAAGGTCATTTATTAACGAATTCATCTATAATGCAATAGGTTTTCCGATTCGAAAGGAAACTAATTAACTAATACAGAAGAAGCATGTCCTCATGACGATGTCTTGTGAGCTGTGACACAACCAATTGGTCGTTCGGTCCAAGGATAATCCATTTCGGATGGCTAAAATCCTTTCTCATTCCGAATTTTTTTTTATTTTGACTTTATACAGTAAAACAAGATAATCATTATGGATTCTTTACGATTTAAAGTTTTTCAACTCGTGTGAAATTGAATGCAATTTGTCATTTGACATTATTAAGTTTATTTATTATATAATGAAAAAATTCACGTGAAAAGATTTTTAGTCTGATTTCACTTTAATATTAAAATATCTTTCAAGGTGATATTGACCTTGCGAATTTCCGGATTTTGCGGATTTCAACAACCATTCAAAAGCTTTCTTGGTGTCTTTTTCTACACCAATTCCATCATGATAACATCTACCCAAATTGAATTGACCAATATGATGTCCTCTCTTTGCAGATTTGGTATACCATTCAATAGCCTTGACCGGATTCTTTGAAGTTCCCACACCCATCTCGTAAAAATAACCCAAACTGTTTTGTCCAAACGTATTTCCACCTTGCGCACTTTTCTCGTACCATTCAAACGCTTTACCTTCATCCTTTTCGGTTCCAATCCCATTTTCATAGTAATAAGCCAAATTACACTGTCCGTTTATGTTCCCTCCCTTAGCGGATTTTAAATACCACTCAAAGGATTTCTCGTCATCCTTTTCAACTCCGATTCCTTGTTGATAACACCAAGCTAACGAACATTGTCCTTTGGGATTGTCTCCCATAGCCGATTTCATATACCAATCAAAAGCCTTCTTATCGCTCTGTATCGTTCCTATCCCATACTCATAACAATAACCTATTTCATATTGGGATGCGGTATTCCCTTCCTTCGCCGGTTTGTAACTCCACTTTAAAGATTTTTGTTTATCCACGATAATATCCTTGTAATAATATAATGCTAATAAATATTCTCCGACCGATTTGTTTATGTTTTGTAAATGATTGTAAATATTTTTGCCCAAATTATCTTGCATCGTTGTGATTTTATACATTTCTAATGCCTTCTTTTTATTAATCTTATGTCCAATTCCATATTGATAAAAAAATCCCAAAAGAGAAGAGAAATATTCAAGGTGATTATCTTGATAAAATTTTAGTAAAACTTCGAATATATATTCCACTTTGGTCCTTTTCATATTCTCTTCAATGTAATTTCTCATCCAATCCGTCGCATACTTATCGAATCCTTTAAAATCTTCCGTGATCGTTAAAATATTCTCGAAATCTTGTAATAATTCTTGTAAAAATAATATTGCTACTTCTTCTTGCGACGGTATATTTTTTGTTGGTGATTTCTCTTTATTTTCAATTGTACGGTGAACTATTTGAATCTTCACATCCACTTCCGTTTTCGGTAAATTTATTTTGTTATTTGAAACATTCGAAACATTTGGAACTTCCTTTGAGCTTAGTCTATATTGAAAAAATTTGGATGTTCTAGAAGCGAAAATTTCATTCTTTGCTATTGTTTTAAAACTTTTAAATTTTTCTGTAGATATATTTAATGCTGAAAATGACGACATTATTGATTTATCTTTTATTAATTTTCTTTATTCTATTTTTTTTTTTTTTTTTTTTTCGTTTACTTTTTTTTTTAAATAAAAGAAAGTAAATGTAACTAGAAAGAGTTTCTTCTTTCTTTTTAAAATATATATTTTTTCTTTTTTCTTTTGTCTTTTTTTCAATTTGTCAAACATAATATAATACAGTGATACGGTTTAACAATTTATTCAAACACCTTTAATAAGGAAACAATGATTTTGTGTATCCATAAATCGCTCACGCATTTGTTTTGATACGCTAATTTGTTCGATATCTTGTGCCCATATAAATTAATTACTGTTGCATAGCATGGTAACATGAATTACTACTTCCGTGGCATTTACTGATGGTGAGGGTTTTGCTGATCATAATGAGGTTAGGCGGTCGAGCAAATCTTTAAAAGTATCATTGTCTAGAAATTATTTGAAACCATACCTACACTTGATGACTTGATTCAAAACACTTTAAACTCTGCTGAAAGTTTCCGAGTTGATGGCGAAATCATTAATCCATTGCAATTTTTGTTTGCGTTGTTCCGATGCATGTAATAAATTTGGGCATATAAACATTATCACACCCATTTATTTATGTTTTGGACCTTGAACTGTACATGAGATAAGTTTTTATTTCTATAATGAGCTTAGTTCAGGTTACCATATATATAATTGTGTTTCCTCCATATTACTGCCCGAATTAAGGTTATTGAAATTTTAACTAAAGTCAATCATAAATCACTTTTGTGGTTTAGTTTTTCCATTCGCTTGAATATCAAGCGGAACAACAAATATTAGACTATATTTGTCAAATGTCGTCGTGCTCTTGTGTTTTACTTATTTTGAGCAAGTGTCATTTAAATTTTTAAATCTGATTGTTTCCATACTTGTTGTTTGAAACAGAATCAACTTGGGTGTATAATATTTATAGTTTTTTTTCGTAGCATGTGTTTATCACTAAATATGTTGGGAGAAGCTGATTTGGCCAAATTTAATCTACAAACCTTTCCAAATAAGGTTTAGGACATTTGGGGTGAAAAATGTAGTTGTATAATCAAAACTTACTTATGGCTAAGAGCAAACTTTCATTATGAAGAAGCTAGAGAATTCTCGTCATTACCGAAGCACATGGAGACCAAAATTGTGTTTATCAGATGATCTTTTTCATGGGATTGAAAAGCATTTTGCTTTTTGTCCAGTCCATTGTTAGGTTTTTTTTGCAAACATCATTTGTTGAACTTTAATTTAAAAGAATTCCAATGAATCTAATATATTTATTTATATGCTAAAGGTTAAAAATGGTCGTTAACAATTACCAAATACAATTTTTTTAAATATTATTTTACCAAATATGTTTAACAAAAGACTTCAACTAATAAGCGTCGTTCATATAATTGCGACATATGAAAAAACGCTAATTTTTTTTGTTTTTCTTTTACTTCGGTAATATTTTAAGTATTTCGATAGTTATCTTTACCACATTAGTTCTATTCTATTTCGAGTTGAGCACTGTGTCAATTTAATTTAAAGTCACATGATTTTAATATGACTGTGCCAAATGTATAAAACTAACTTATTATATTGCCGAAAGTCATTTGATTTTATTTCAATTTTTTTAAAACTATCTTTCCGAATAAGGTTTAAACATTCAAAAATTATTATCTACAATTACTCCATCAATTCGATGATTATTCAAAAAAAATATATTTATTTATTTTTAAAAAACCGATGAATCAGATTAAATCGGAATTACAATTCCTCCTGATTTAGACTCCACATAATCGCGGAAATTAGAATCATTTATATGTAATGAGGGAAATTTATCAGTTATTTAAATAAATGGAATTTCCTTGCCCACCCACTGTCTCTTATCTACCATTACTTATTTTTTATATCGCATTTTAATTCGGACAATTAGTGACGTTTAAAATGAAACAAATTAAGTCTTTGTTTAAAAAGAAAAAAAAGCGTCTTCGTGGGGTGGATGTTCAAGTGGAAGAAGAGAAGGACACTACAAGAGTTGATTTGAATATTTATCAAATATTCGAAAAATACTAGAACAAAATAATTCGGTTAATATTAAAAATACATTATTCTTTGCTCAAACTAGCAATGAAGGGAATACCTTTTCTTTTCTAAAATATCATTTGAAGATGAAGGACACAAGACTTTAAAAGGGATTATACAAATAATTAATGATAATGGATCGAAAAGATACAAGTTGCATCTTAGAAAAAGTTCGACTCCAGTTTGGAAAGACTTATATATAAATTCAAAATTGGAATATGGACGAGTCATCGTTCGAGGTAAATGTAAGGAAGCTGATAAGCAAGCTTATGAGATGAAAGATTGCGAATCAACCATAATGAATGAATTTAACTATCATAATTAGAATCAAAAGAAGAATGGACGATGGAATCAGAATATTTATTTTCCGCTGATATGAATGCACAATATTGCGCGAAATTAGGAATATAAAGAGAGGCGAAAAATCAAGCTCTAAGTCTATATATCATATCATTGCACAAAGAATGAAAAGGCTACTTTGGAATTTGGTAAATATTTAGAACCAAAAATAGAATTTATTGATGCGGTAAAGGATGCTTTAAATTCAAAGGATGTTAAGAAGTTTAAAATAATCCTTGAGGAATTTGGTCAATTCATCTCAACTGAAGTTATCTTGGGTGGTAAAGCTTTTATTAAAGGGTTAAATATTTCAAAGGAACTTTTTAAGTTAAGTTCTATTGAAGTTTCAGCGAATCTAAGTACCGGACCTGCAGTTGCCAAAACATCAAATCTTCGAATGGAATTTCTGATTACTCACAACTCAAAAGTTTAAAGCTAATCGGAGGAAAGGTGCCCGACATTACAAAGTTTGACGAAGAGTCTTGGTATAAATCCTTGAGTGATTATGGAAATTGAGGTTGAGTAGAATTTCGAAATCCTGTTTGTATTTTTAAATTTTTAATGCAGACAGAATTACAAAAGGGTATCTCCTCACTCATTGGAAAAAAATTATTTATTCAAAAGTTGAAGTCACGTGGAAAACACAATTGGTTATACCATCCAATGTTTTAAAGATTGTAACTTTTTCGCAACGGTTATTGACACGAAATATGAGAGTAATGATTCCTTTCATTGTCAAATCCTTTATTATCAAGACGACCAATCAAGCCTTATTATTCATTGTATTCAAAAAGAATTTAAAAAACGTGAATGTAAATTGAAAATCCGATGGATGTCGCACAGATTTGGATTTTGCCCTTCACGGATTTTGATGATCAATTAAATATCGAAAGACTTGAATTTCTTGAATTTGATGTGTCAAAAGATGCGAACATGTCCATTAGGGAGTTATTGGAATTTAAACAAGTCCGAAATTTTCTGTCTTTGGAATTCCTGCGTTAAATAATTTTGATGATGAATTTCTCGTTATTGGTCATCATTTTTATAAAACTCAGAAAAATAATGTCGGATTATATGCGTTCGCTTATGATCTAAAAAATAATCATTATGTTAATTTACTCAAATTTACGTTTTATGCACTCGTTATTTTAAATTATCATAATTCCGATGCTTTTTAAAATCATCTTCTGAATGTGATAATACGAATATGCCAAAGTACTTTAGTTTAAATTCCAAAGAAGAAAAGAATTGTGGTCCGGTTTTTCTGAAACAAAAACAACGTGAAGTCAAGCCAAAATCAGTTATTGATAAAATGTGTGGTCAAGTCTCCTGTATTTGCAAAAAAGAAACATTCAAAAAGAGAAATGATTATTTGGAATATTACTTTTTCAATCCAGGTATGTTCTTGTTTATTAGTTAATTATGTATCTTTTTCCAAGCAAGTGATACGTGATATTAAATGAACGTATTTTTTTTTTGTACTCTTTAGAAATTTCTGAGTCATTTGACTTATAAAATTATACTGTATATGAAATATCGATTTCAATAAAAACTTTAAAATGTTAAAATTTTTATCAAATGACGATTCATAAATTTATGTTTTTAAATATGTAATGGCTCGTTTCTGAGTGTGTGAATAATCCGGTAAGATTGTGGCAAAGTAATTTTTTTTCTTACAAGCCTTAGAAAAATACGTTATTATAAATATTGGTGGTTTCGAATAAGGATAATATTTTTTTTTTTTTTATAAAAACAATTTATATCACGCACGATTAAAAAAATGGGTAAAAATAATCCCATCGTATTATTCTTAACAAAATTTCGCTCCTTCTGTAAGTATTTTTTATATTAAAAAAAAAATTTATTTGAACAATTTAACTAAGTTCGTCATTTGCTCAAGTTGTTCAAGATGATAAACCTGATAAACCAGAAATAAAACCATTCTTATCATCCAATGAACTTAATATTGAAACCGAACGTGAAGATAATTTATGTGAAGATTGGGTTTCCGGAAGACGTTTTTACGATTTCTTGTTACCTTTGAAACGAAAAAACATGAAGAGTGACGCTTCCAAACAATTATCTTATATTAAATATGAACAATTAAGACAAAAGAAAATTCATTTGGAATTTTTACAAGAGGAATTTTACGATAAAGCAGGTTATGACGTTCATCTAATCATAAGTCAACTTTGTTATGATCAACAAATGAAGGATTGTGAAATTGGGGAAGACCATGAAGATAACTTGGATTTACAATAGCAATTAGTGAATTTACCGCATTTGTAAATATGTTAATATTTTTTACGCTATAAATCCCGTCATTAACATAAATAAAAGCGAGAATTTTCACCATGAAATTAACAAATTTGTTACTGCAGTAAAATTTGAAATTTTTATTATCGAGATTTTCGAGACGATTAAAAAATTTACAAAGTAAATTTTAAATAAATTATAGTGGTAAGAAAAATTAAATTTCTACCGACAAATGATTAAAAAAGTAAAATAAATTAAAATGAAATACGGTCGGTAGTACAAAAAAATATGAATTTCTACCCACTATGTAAAATTAAAAATTAATACATAAATCATCTGAATTATCTCTTTTTATATATATATATATATATTCCCACCTTTTCATATCTAAACAAAGAATTTGGTTTGATAATAAAAATAAATATTATAAATATTCTCCTATCGGAATCAAAAAAATTAATTTGCAAATAAAATAAAAATTGAATCGCGAAAGCGAAATAAAAGTGGATCCCGATAGGAAAAGATGATTGAAAATCATATTAAAAAAAAATTCAAACCAAATCTTTAGTCCTCCTTTTACTATAATAGATGTCAGATATTTTTTTTTTTTTTTTTTTTTTTGTTCCGTCATTCTTAAAAATAAAATAAAAATAAAAGGTAAAGAAGAATGACGGGATTGAAAATTTAATATGGGGGGAATTTAAAAAATAAAAAAATTAAAATAAGAATATTTCCCCCGAAAAATTTAAGGATGGCATCCATTTTTTTTTTTATAAATTTTTTTTTTGAATTTTTTTTGAATTTTTTTTTTTTTGATTTTGTGAAACACGCCAATTGTGTTGTGAAAGGTTTCCTAGTATCAAAAATAAAAAGACGAAAACATCCCTCCAAGTAAAGAAAAATAAAAAATGGAACAGCTTCGTATGAGTAAAGTTAAAATAAAAAAGTGAAGGATGAAATTGTCAAAAAAATATAAAGAGACCAATCACGCTTAATTAAAATAAAAAATAAATGGGGTCATATGATTATGGAAAAAGATGGCGAGAAATGCTTATTTAAGGAAGCGTCTCGCGTACAGACTTCTTTAAAATTTTCATTTGAAATAAAGAAGTCACGATTCGACAGATTGAGTTAATGTCGGTTTGAAAATAACTCGTGGTCTTCATGTACAAAGATATACATGATTCGTATTAATAGAGATTAATTATTTCGAAGTCTATTAAGTTAATATTAATTGTTGCCAAGATCCATGTTAATTTAATCGTCTATATTAATTAGTTACATTACACTAAAAATGGAAAAAAAGTTAATGTTTGTTTCAAAAGTGTGAAAAGATAGTCAAAACACTTACACTCAATCGTCTTACGTTTGCCGTTCTTACCAATAAATAAATTGGTAAGAACGATGTTTGACTAAATTAACTGGAACATTAGCATAAGATTATTAAGTTAATTATTAAAATAAATTTGTTTGAGGCTTGTTGGATTTTGTTAAACTTTTGAAAGCTCGCAATTTGTTAAGGTGCCGAAATTGCAATATCGAGTTTGTTCTTTTTGCCAAAGATCGATTTAAAGAAATTTTGAAGGTGATTAGTGGAGCAGGGCTATTCAAAATCCTCATCCTCGGTTGTACCGACACGGAAATATTTTAAATTAATATACAATTTGGTATCTTCGTGAGATTTACCAACGTGTCGATAACATTAAATTACATTAGTCTATAGATTATCACTATATATAAAAAAAAAATAAAAATCAAATTTAAAATCAAAAAATGTTAGAATGAGTAATTTGAAAATCCAAGGAAAGCATTAAATTTACTTACAATAAAAATAAAAAGCCTTCAGAGGAATTTCATTGTGCGATTAAAGCATGGCATAAGGTATCAATGAAATTAATGGTGTAGGAAGTTCGCCAGTTAGATATCGCTCGTTAAATAAGTAGTGGAGGAAGCCATGCCAGGAATATTTTACTTTCCAATAATAACGATCATGAAAAGGGATGATGCTTATTTACAAAAACATGTATCGAGAACTAGGCCAATTATTTCTCGAAAGGACATGGTATTTATAAATAGAAACCAGTGAAGGTATGGCTTAGACATTCATAGTAATACCAAATGTTAATTTTCTGGTTAGAAAAAAAATATATATTTCACAAATTAATTAAAGTTGGTTGAAACCTGTTAGGCGATTGCAAATCTGTGGCTTAGACAAGAGAGCTCGAGAAATTTTGGTAATTCCGAAATTCGGGATGATGCGGGAAGAGGGATAAATGGTAAAAGAATGGCTTAGATTAAAAATAATCGGGAAGGCTTAAATATTTCATGAATTCCGGAAATGTGGCGAAGCTTTTTAAACAAGATATTCAAGGAACATTAATCGTTAAGTGGCCAAAAAAAAAAAAAAAAAAAAAATTGGTTGCAAAAAAAAAATTTACTTTGTCAATTTGACAAACTCCATGTGCCATTAGTCATTTAATCACAATTATGATTATAATGACGAAAAGGTTAGATTTCTAGCTAGAAACCTAGAATGCGACGAAACTGTGCTAGATATTGCAGATTTTTCATGGGGCCCTTCTGAGAATGGCTTGGACCATTGAAATCTGTAACTCTTGTACAGCGCGGGTCCAATGTATTATGACAATTCGAGATAACCTTCTCGAAGAATGTAAGAAAGAATATCTCGTAAAAGATATCTAGAAACCCAAAAAGAAAAGTGAATATTGTATATATAAAGGGGAGAAAAAAAAATTCTTAAAATATTTACCACGGCCTCAAGAAACCGTATTGATTTTCGAACCTTTAACGTATTTAACATCGTGTAGGGATATTAAAGAATGAGTTGATGTTTTTGATGGGAAAAAAAACTGCGATGCGGAGAATTTATGTTTGTGATTTTTGAATCTAATTGTGGCTTTTCGTGTGAACGTGGTTTTGAGACAAATTGAAAGTTGGCCAAGATTTTCGGAATGTTTGTTTCACAAGCTTCGCGTGTTTATGGGTTTCTTGACTCAAGGGTTATATATGGTAAGGAATAAAAAAATATGTTTTCAAAATTTCCCGTGATTATTTACTTTGTGACTACTTATTAAATTATAGCTTCAATATTTAGTTTAACAATAACTTCGATCCAATTAATTAATAAGTAGTCACAGTCTTTTATTTGAAAAGAGAAGAATGCATAAATAATTTACACACATTAGACGTCATTTATAAGTGAATTTTGATTTCATAACGAGAGAATTAAACACCTCTTACCTCACCTAAAAGTTTAATATTTTGTACTTTTTGATACTGAATTGACCGTAACGTTGTCCACAAAACATTTTTGAATGTCACGGAAAGGTTAATTATACATCCAAATCTTTACAAATCCAAAATGCTCTGAATTTATTTTTTTTTTTTTGCGAAATTTGAGATTTTTATCGTTATAATTTAATTAAAAAAAAAATACCGCGAAAACGTGTTCACTCACCATTCTAAGTTAGACCAGGCAAAATATCTTTTGTTAAAAAAAAAGTCTATCGCATTACTTTTTTATTCAATTTCTTAAGCGAATTTGTAAAATACTACGAAATGATAGACAATACGCTATCCACAAATGGTTTGTAAAGGGGTCAATGCGCTCAAAATGTCAAGTACCGTATTTATATATTTTCTCCGAAACTTGTGGCTTCTTTGATCAGAGTATGTATTTTCATAAACGTTATGCTACATACATATCTGACTACCTTTTTTTTTATTTTTTATTTTTTTTTTGATAATTGATAAGCCTCTGATTAAGCCTTTTAATTTTCCGAGTAATAAAAGCAAAATAAAAAAAAATTTTTTGATAGATAATCTATTCTCAGTTACAATTTCCGATAATTTAAGCCGCGTTTATTGTAAAACCCTTTTTTGACCTAATTAATCCGAACAAAAAAGCCATGTTTGTTTGATTTGATTTGATTTGATTTATTTTATTTGTTATGGTTAAAGAATGGTTCATTCTTCTGTTACTCAAAATTCCTAAAGTCGTGGCAACACTTTTCGTGACAAATGGCTGCAAATTAATTCGACAACAAAATTTTTTTTCTTCGCTTTTAGACTTTAATTTATCAAGCCCCTTTGAACTTTCTTCAGCTAAACTATGCTAAGCCAAGTTATAATCTTTTTTTATATTTGTTCTCTCGAAAAAAAAATTTTGCTGATGATGATTCAACTTCGTTTAGCTCATATTATATTATCAATGATTATTTTAAGACTTATGTCTTTATTAGCTGATGCCTCAAAATAACCACAATTGTTTATAATGAAATCATTATAAAGGCACCAATCATAGCAATTATGCAACGGTTATCGTGGCAACAAAGTTAAAATCAAACTTTAGGAAATATTGAAAATAGAAATAACCGCACGTGTCATTTTTACGATTATCATATATCTTTATTTGGAAACTAACAGTGTTCATTATATCGAGGCTTATCATTATAACGAGGCTTTTTAGTTGATGAATGGCTTATCATTTATTTATATTACAGTTTTTTACTTCAACTTTTTTTATATTTTGTTTTTAAAACTTTTATGGATTTTTGATTTATTGTATAAACCGTTTTGTGGCTTTTATATAGATTAATTCGGTACTTGATGAAATAATTGAAATAATTGAAAAATTCGTAATTTAGAATCCTAGTTCCCGAATATGTTTGTACTTACCCCGTAAAAATCCGTGTAATTGGATGTATTATGCTTTTGATTATAACCGTAATACAGTTTAACTTATTCTTTTTTTTCTTCCTTTCAAGATTTCTACATAATTAACAAGTACCGAACAAACTCGAGGTAGTCCCGAAAGTGATACGATTCTTCTTACCGTTTGATTAAATCAAAGGGATTAACTTGTTTACATTGTATTTAATTTCATAATCAAAACTGTATCAAACAAAAATTAACAAATGAATCGTAATTTCGACTTTTAAGGGCATCATAAAGAAAAACAAAATAATAAATATCCGAATATGGGATCATGTCATGTTTATTTTAAAAGAACATGGCATTTAACTAGATGATCATTGTTAACATTGTTAAACGGTTGTCATACAAACAAAGTGCTTGCTGCGGCTTAGATGCGTTTCACTTTTTGATTACCGGGAAATTTACAAATCTCCTTTAAGAAAATTCTTGTCATTGTGATAAATCATTGAATAATTTTAGGAAAATTTTATTTATCATACTTGATTTAATTGATGATTTTTTCCTTCTTAATCATTTTCGATAAAATTTTTTAAAAAAAAGAATACAACTTGTGACCTAGAACAATGAATTGTTTTGATCTAGCAAAATCACGAGAAATTCATTATTTCATTTATACCTCTATTTTGTTTATTGATATTGTGGTGACAATGAGGCTGAGAAAATAAATAAAAATCTGTATTTTTTTTTTATAAATTAACAAAACTCAAAACCTCCTAAAAAAATTATATAAACAAACAATAACTTGTTTTTTTCCCTTTTAACGATAAAAAATTCGTTTAATCAACATCGTGTGTGCTTACAGTTTAGTAATATTTCATCAAATCCGTTTGATCAAGGAGAAATGTATTTCTCGAAACATAACACGAGATAACAAGTTAATGCATTATTAGTAAGTTCCTTTAAATCGTGGCATTTGTTGATGGTCAATTCTAAGCGATTTAACTCTCGGGGCTCATTTCTTAACGAGAGGCTTTTCAGGCTTATCAAATAATTAATTCAAATAATTGGAAGTTTTATAAAATATTGGGGCTCATCAATTCGCTATTTCTACAAGAAATAAACCATTAATTCAAAAGTCCCGTGCTGACGAAAAATTATTCTCTGACTTTTCGAACGAGTTTTTAAAGAGCAATAGTGATTAATATATATTTTTTTATTATGAATTTTCTTTATTATTTTTTTGAATTTTACTGCGTAAAAATAACATTATATAACAATATTAATTGAATATGTGTTAAGTTTGCAAAAAAGGAAATTTTGCAAATATTTGCTTGTTTATTAAAATTGCATTATCAAAAAGCCAAGAAACTTAAGACAATAAAACTCTATAAACAAATGATCGATCCGATTCTCTGTTTTCTCTCAATTATTATGATCAACAATGATTTCCTAAAAAAACAAAAAAAAAAAGTGCGTTTAATGAAATTAGCATTTATTGATGCATAAATATCATTATTACTTATCATTATGAACATTTTCATTTTCTACTACGAAAAATTCTACATTTACGATTATATAAATAAACAATGTAAAAAGTGTTAAAACTTTATTTATCTGACAGGTATGACATCATAGTTGACATTTCATGATTCAAGTTATTTCAGGTCGTAAAATTAATTAATAATGTTATCCATATATAGGTTGAATCAGAAAAAATCCGCAGTAATCGGAATTGCGAATTATAATTATTCGTTAATTTTATAAATAATAAAATATCCAAAAGGACAAATGTAAAATGGCTTTTTGTAATCATATATCGAGCAATAAAAAAGATTTTTTTTTCTTTTTTTTTGCTGATTATATTCAAATGCGTTTATTGGTCGATACTAAACTCTAAAATGACGTGACGCGGTTTATGAATACTTTAAAGTCTTCGCATAGCCACAATTAATCAATTATAACCTGGAATAAAAATCAAATCTGTAAACTGATAAAACTGATATCATGTCATGAAACCGTATTTTAAAGATATCATAAAAATTTACCGTGATGAAGAAAGATTTTGGCTATGTTTGTGATTTCTGTCAAGTTACTCATCTGAATTGAATTCATTTTAATCTATTGGGTCATAAAATTGATTTTATGAATTTTACCGAGTAATTCTAAGCTATATAAGGCTTGTTTTGCGCAAAATTATATCCTTTTCTTGGGGCTTTTAAACAAGAATGAAGGCTTAAATGCAAACACCTAAAATAAATATATAAACTCAGATTATCCTAACGACTAATTCCCAGAGGACATAGCGAGGCTTATTTATTAGGCTTAAAAAGGCTTGTAGATAAAACAAATAGTATAATAATTTACTTTATTTTGCTGCGTTTAGATGTGGCTTTAAAAGCCCTTTTGAACGAATGACGGCTCTGTCATTTGATTTTCGTGAGATGTTAGGATTAGGATGTAAAGAAAGATTTTTTATTTTGTTTTCCTCTTCTTTGTGGAAAAGTAATGATAACATCTGAAGTTGAATTGTACCTTGTAATGATGCTTGATTGGAATTTGAGAAAGACTCGATTTTTAAAATTACAGTCCTTCTATTTTTAAGTAAATTATTTTTAAAAAAAAATTATTCCAACCTAAATTATAATTTCCGTATGATGAATAAATTATTATAATTGAAAACTTTCCACATGTTTCAAACTTCTTGAAGTTACCAAAGAATAAAACTCGTGATCTGCGCATTTACCAACGTCTCGATAACATTAAATTACATTAGTCTATAGATTATCACTATATATAAAAAAAAAATAAAAATCAAATTTAAAATCAAAAAATGTTAGAATGAGTAATTTGAAAATCCAAGGAAAGCATTAAATTTACTTACAATAAAAATAAAAAGCCTTCAGAGGAATTTCATTGTGCGATTAAA